GCGAGGATAGCAGGGACAGGGGCGGTAGCCGACGGGGCCAGAGACCCGCATCCCAGCGCAGCAGTCCCACGAGATCCACCACCAGGAGGAGGAGCCCGGCCAGGGCCAGGAGGTCGCCGTCGCCCGGTAGGCGCCGGAGCCGGGATAGGAGCCTCGCGAGAACTCGCCGCCTTAGCCGTAGCCGTAGCCGCAGCCGCAGCCGCAGCAGCGACAGCAGCAGCAGCAGCGAAAGAAGCAGCAACTGCCGCGGCCGATCGCGCAGCAGGGACAGCTCTATTCGCTCGAAGAGCAAGGACAGCAGCAGCGGAGGGCACACGCGGCCGCTGCAACGCCGGCGGCGCGAGGAGAAGACGGGGCGGGGGAGCCGAGGCCGTGGCGGCCACCGCGGCAACGACGACCGCGGCGTGTCTCCTTCCCGCCCCCGCGAAGAGAAGGACCGGGCTTCGGGCAAGACATGTGGCAAGGGTAGCGATGACGGCCGTGGCGGCGGCGGCGGCGACGGGGCCGGTGGCAGAGACGGGGAAACAGGAAGGAGCGGGCGGCGCCGGGGGCGCAGCCGGACTCGCAGCGTTAGCGTGGACAAGCGCCTTTGAAAAATGGCGGGGCGCGATTGCGTCATCGAATACTCCCCGAGATTCGACCAGGCTTTCAGATGACAGGCGGCGTGGGAGCACAGGGGAGTGACTAAAGTTCGGGTTTGTGACGAGATTTTTGCTGTGTGTAGGTGATGCTTTAGAGTGGCTGGCATCCGAAAGGGGCGCGCAAAGCCAGCCTCTTGAAGGAAGGAGCCGCGATTGAACGAGATGGCTCGTGGTGCTATCGTGTTGCTAGAAGCAGAGGGGAGCGCACCACGCGTTCCCCAAGCCGCCGCATAAGGCCTATCTGTTGCTCTTTCGATGAGCTTGCGGCCAAGGAGAAACATTGGATGGTCAATTGTAGTGCTACAAGCATGGTTATATGCTGTGGGATGGCCTCCGCGGCCGTGCCTGCTGCGTGTGTACTTCGCGGCTCGAGAACGTCCGAGCTCTTCCTCTGCAAATGGTGTTTGCAAAGGTGAAAGTTTGAAGAGACAAGCGCGTGTGTGGTGTTTTTTTTTGCGCTGAGTTTCACACAAGTGATTTTCGTGAACAAAGGAGTGGGTAGAAGAGATTTCATAGGTACTTTATTCGGACGGGGGGGGGGTGACGAGCTGCGGCTTGGCTCGATTCGACCCGCCCTTGCGCACGCCGCGGTGTCGCTCATTACGGTTTTCTTAAGATGGACGCGATAATCTGCGCCCATCAAAAAAAAAGAAAACGTTTTTGTAGAATATGATAGTCGTCATTGTTCCAGGGGAAAGAGTTCGTGTCAAAGATTTTCACCCTTCTGCGTGAAGTCTAGATACACCTTTCTGTGGGTGTTATTGTTTTTGTCGTTCATGTCCAGTGGCGTTAGAGCTCAGTCAAAGACGGCAGAAGGAGCATCTTTGTGGAGTATGCAGTCGCCGCATGCTTACTAGAGTACTCGGGACTCTTCTGTAAAACTTCAAACTTGTAAAAACAAATTTAAATGTTAAAGAGGGCGGGGGCGTCAAATTTAATTATCAGGGAGGGAGGGGGGGGCGGGGGGGGGTCAAATTTTATTATCAAGGGAGGGATGGGGGGAGGCAAGAGTTGTTCACTGCCCGTGCCCCTCCTCGCGTGCGTTTCGATGTGTCGGTGCATGGACTGATGGTGTTTTGGAAAGAAAAAGATTCTCGCCGAGGTGATGTAGATGTGCAGGCTTCGTATGCAAGGGGGCTCCGCGGATTGGGTAATACCTAGGGCGATGACCCGCCGCGGGAGGCGCTTTTTTTTTTGTTCTCCGAGGCGGGTCCGTGAATCGTTTCATATTTATCTAGCTCTGCTGTGTAATTCATCTATGTGATGCGGTTTTTCCATTCAACGCGCAACCTCGGCGTATCGGCGCGTTTGTTTCCTGTTTGGCGAGTGCCGTCTGCTCCCGTTCAGAGAACAACGTCGATCTTACGACATCTGGGTGAAACAAAGTGGTCAACGATATTTTCTACCTGCTGCACTGAGTGGAGCAACCATTTTTTTTCTACCCAGGGTACACGCCACTGGCCAATACCATCACTTTTTTTGCGAACACAGCATGCATCGTAAAAAAACGCACTCATTCTCGCAAAGAACGCACTCGTCGGTAACATGGCGTTTTAAATATCATGTGTCATCATCGCGTTGACGTTGTGCACCAGGCTTCTTCACCGTGAAAGAAGCGTTTCTCACTGTTGACCAGGCGGGAACTTCAGGAAAAGGTTCCAACATTTCAGGTCGCTCAACCAATCCGTTCTGAGTGTTCCAAACAAGCTTTTGAGTCTGGTTTTAGCCAATCTTTTTTGGTACAATCTACATCCCGATGTCGTAGAAATCGTCACACATTTCCTTTCTGAGTCAATACATTTGTTGTGTGCAATTTTTTGCCTAGCTAGGTGTTCTTCTTGTTCTAGTCTGAGGTGCGAGTCTATGCAGCACAAAACCCAAACAAACCCGCATCCAAACCCAACCTCCTGTCTGCTGTTTTGCGCACCGAACCCGCGCAGCAGCTTTGTCGTCTCCAGAAATGGCCGTGCATCCATCAACAATACGAACAGATGTACAAATGAATCCCGACATCGCTACTGTTGCCGAGACTTCGAGAGTCCCTTGCATCCGTGACGGGACATGTCTCCTCGCTGCTACTGCTGCTGCTGCTGCTGCTGCTGCTTGATGCTGCTGCTTGCTGCTGCTGCTGCTTGCTGCTGCTGCTTGCTGCTGCTGCTTGCTGCTGCTTCCATTGCCTGCGCGCCACATGCGTATGATGTGGCCTATCTCGCCTGTACCGCCTCCAAGAACACGCCTCCTACTGTCCTACTGTACATACACTTTCGACCAAAACGCGGGACGGCGGCGGGGAGGCAATGTCCGAGGGTGTTCTTGCCTTCACGTTCAAAACAATTCTTGACCTCTAGTTTTCGGCAGGGCGACGAAAAGAAGCTACGTGATCACAGACCAACTAACCCAAAACAACGCACCACAACAAATTGAACCCAGAAAAACGATGTAATTGAGAGCTGGCGAGGTTTAGGGACACTCGACCCTCTGCCAAACGCGAAAACCAGCTGACCTCCCCCCCCTGCAAAACAGCTTGCTGCTGCCGTAGCCAGCGCTCGATTGCCGTACAACGCTCCCCCGCTTCGCTCCTGTCGTCGCCTGCTCCTTCGCTCACCCCTCCCCCCCCCCNAACAGCTTGCTGCTGCCGTAGCCAGCGCTCGATTGCCGTACAACGCTCCCCCGCTTCGCTCCTGTCGTCGCCTGCTCCTTCGCTCACCCCCCCCCCCCCCCTGCTTGCTCTTCTGCCTCTCCTCCGACGGAGCCCCCGCGGGAAAGCCTCTTCGGGAAGGAAACCTCTCCTCCGGCAACGTAGTCTTCCAAGAAAGAAAGGTATTCAGGGGCCCCGAACTCTCCGAGGGCAACCGAAACCTGTAGCACCCCCCCACACACACGCACGCACGTTAGCGCGCTCGATGCTAATAAGAAAGACACACTCAGGATACAAAGCATGCGCGCACGTTCACAACAGTTTCTGAAAGGCTGTTTCGATGCTTTCCTTGCCGACAGGCTCGAGAACAGAGTGTTTACGCCAGAAGCACATACGATGCCCGAAACACTCACACGACAAATTACCGCGCCGAGACTGACGTATTCCCATTCATCCACCGGGAAACGCGGTCGTTGCCAGTAACAAAGACACACGTGCGGAAGCGCAAATATGGAAGGCTTCATTGTGCTTTTTCGTACCGCATATTGACTGATGACTTCATCTCATTGGCCAGCCATTTGGCGCGGTCGGTGCCACCAAGAGAAACCAACACAAATGAGCAACCGAGTGATCATGCTCTGTCGTTGCAGCAAAGAAGTTTGGCGTGTGCGCGCGGGTGGGCAGCGCGAAGGTGCAGCTGGGACGAATACTGGGCCTTGCTGCACGGCCAGCAACCGAACGAATTCGGCTCTCTAGTAGTACCTTGTGGCTGCTGTTCCCTGTCTGCCGATGTTCGTTTGATACCCGTGCTGGTCCAACTTACGCGGGCGCCGTCCGTGGTCACACGCTCAACACCGAAATAAAGGGTACTGGTATAGTATATGTCAAGAAACATCTAAATTGCATGCCTGAGGTCGCTCTGTGCAACGACCGTCGCGCGTTAGCAGCCCGGTGCTACTGGGCACGAACGAGCCCTCGCCCCCCCCGATACTGGTGATGTCAAGGAGAGACAGAGCTGCCAACATCCCAGGGTGACAGGCGGGTGCTGGCGTCAAACAGCCAGGGGTGTGAAGTGCAGCTATTTTTCTGTTCGTCGCCAGGTCCTCACAGAAGTCGCCACCGTTACCAGTAAGTAGCAGGTTGAACGATGGCGTCAAGAGTAGCAGTTCTGCACATGAGAGAAACTCCGCGTACGGCGTGAAATTCCACGAGCCACACAAGAATGTAACTCGGTGTACGATGCAGAAGCAACAAGAACCAACGTGGCCGTCATCCCCGGGGAAGAACATGAAAAAGCGTCGGAGTAAGTCGTCTTCAAAAACAACAACCTCCTTTCACGGGGATAACGAACTAACGACGACGTCCTGTGCCCCGCCTTACCTTGTTCACGAAGGACGGGGGCAAAGCCGCTGACAGCAGGCGAAGAACGTTCCGGTGACTGCCGTGCCTCTCCGACACGTGCGCCACAACGAGTTGCTCCACTCGTCCGAGCTTGTCCATGTTGTCGAGCACATCCTGCGGTCAAAGGTGTGGGTGGTCTGGACTTGGTCAGTCGGTTCACAGCGTTGGTGGACACCGACTAGAGACGCACACAACAGAACGGCCAATAACACGGGTGTGTTCTTTGTCTAATGTCTAACCTCTGAAGCCTCTTCTCGTGCCCGCTTGGTCCTGTACGCTTAACTCAATAACTCACCCACGCGCACACCCACGCACACCAAACGCGAATACACACACGAACCTTTACCCTTTTGTTATTCCGCTTTAAGACTGACGGTCTTTCCAGTGGTCAGTCGGTTGGCGCGGTCGATGATAATAACAAAATCACACGCACACACGCACACACACGGACGGACGAAGCGAAGCCCACCTCCTAATGTACACTCCTCAATCTCCATCTCGCCTGTACGTGTATGTGGAAGTTCTTCGCCGCCGCACTACCATCCCCGTCAAGGTAGGTGACCTCCATGATGAGCATTCGCGCCTCCCAAACCACCGGCTGCGACACGAGGCCGTCCATCACGGTGTCCCCCGTGTAGACCACCTCCACGGTTTCGTGGGACGAGTGGACGTCTACCCCACGTTTCCTGAGCAAAGGAAGAGAGAGAGAGGGCGCGAGAGAGCTAGGTACAACAACAAGTTTTCCGTTTCTCCTGCTGACCCTCAAGCGTCGGTCGTGGTGACGACACGCATGCTGCTGCACACCACGGAGAAAAACACGTTATCACGGAGACAGGTAGACTCTTAAGCACGAGAACGAAAATGATTATTTGCATACATTCCGAAGTGAGAGAGGGAGACGTGGCGGGAGAGAGGGAGGGGGGTCCACACGACCAAAAAAACGAAAAATCGGAAAAGGCACGGTCAAGACTCGAGACCTACTATTACCAGCAAAGCCTTTTCACACCTCAGAGCTCCGATCTCCCTTCCGTCCAACTGTCGATACTCGTGCTTCAGCTCGTCTGTCTTAAGCCGCATCAGCGCAAACCCCAAAGCGTCGACCCTGCGACCACCCGAACGTAGGAGAGGGGAGAGGCGTACTGATGGCTTGAGTACCTTAGCGGATAGACCATTGACCACGCGTCCTAGATGGGACGGAGCATTTTTTCCACGGGACCGATCACCGTTGATGGCCAGTCGTTCCTTCCTACTTTGCCAAACGTGGCTCAAAAATGTCTTCCCTAGACTATCTACCTATCGAAGTCACTTCCCGCCTTTTCGGCCCACTTCCCATGCCCCCGTACAGCTACCGTCTTCTCCTGGCTGTTCCATGCCTCATACATCTCTCTGTTCCTTCCTTCTGCTTTTCCCAGCTCAGTCATATACGCTTCCCTCTCCTTTTCGTACAACGGACATTCCGCAACTACATGAACCCAGTCTTCGCACTCGGACTCGCATTCACATTTGAAGTTGTCGCCTTCATCGTCCACCTTCCTAAATCCTCGTCTACATTCTCGAAGGTCAATGTCCCCGGTCCTAGATTCGACTTTCAGCTTTGCCCCTGCATCCTTTGGTCCATGTAGGTACTCCTTGAACCCTATTCCTTCTTTCACCTTCCTACATATCTAGACCCTCCATACCCTTGGTTTCTCTGGTTAGGTTGTATACTTCTCTCTTTCGGCAGAAGCAACAGACATCTTCTCCTTGAACCCCTCTTGACCTGTCACCTTCGTTAATTTCGAATTCCTTCCATACGTCATCTACAACCTTGACCCATTCCGTGGGTTGTCTCTCTTCTTGCTTGCCCACTTCGCCTCTTAAGCTATTCTCAGCAACCTCTCCACCATACCGTACATGCGGTACTGCCATTTTAGCTTCCTTGCGTCTCTTTCCGCTCGTGGGGGTTGAATCCCCAGTTCTGCCCTGTTACATGAGCGCTTGGATCATCCTAGGATGGTTTTCGCTGCTTTCATCTGCTTCGCCTCGGGCTACCTTGTTGTTTCCTTCACACACGTCTCCGGCGTACTCTAGCGGCGGTGCGATTACGCTTGCTAGAAAGGCTTACCCATTAGACTGCTCAGTCAGCGCTGACTGAGTAGTCTAATGGGTAAGCCTTTCTAACAACGCTCTTCAAAACCGCCAATTTGATGCGTGTATCGAGGTGCCGGTTTGCGAGCATTGGGCGCAGCTTCCCTGCTCGTGTTCTGCCCTTTTGCTGGGACCCCACGCCCAACCAATGAATTGTGTTCACGATCGTCTGTCATTGTGTGTGTTGCGTCCACGTTTTTTATGTGGAGACACTGTCTGGTGCCGGCCCGCCGCGCTCGCTTTCCCAGCGCGTGCGCGAAAGAAAAAATGCCGGTAAAAACCTACCGGTGCTTGACCAAGAAGGGACGCACGAAGCAGCCCTGCCCTAGATCGACCCTGTCTTCCGGCCCCACGGCGACGATATCCATGGCGATGCTGGCCCCCTCGACCTCTTCGAAGGCTTTCCGGACCTGCCAATCATGGAACAGTAGTCACGCGTCAAAGACCGCTGCACGACAACAGTTGCGCCACCATTCGTATGGCGACCGCTAGGTTCAAATTCGACAACAGGCCCATCGTGGAGGTCTCAGATCCACCATGTCAACTCCGGTGTCTTTCCCTACGTCCTCGAGTACCTCCTCACTGCCCTCCCGAGAAATAAAGCACGAAACGTAGCCCGGAAGAACTGGCTGCGGGGGGGAGTCCTGTCGCAGATGCAGGAGTGTCTAACGAGAGGGAACACACGTTTGTACAATCCTCTTTATCGGTGCCACCTGCACACGGAGAGAGGGGATCGCAGGGTTCCAAACAACGGTGTCCCCCCTCCCGAGACATTTCTACTCAAGCGTGCGTGCGCCCCGGCCGAAGAGTTTCATTCGTAATTGTTGCGAAGTCCCAGTGACAACGGTCTCTCAATCCCTCTCCCGCTACATCTCGTACTTTACCGCACCCCACACATGCTAAAATTACTCCAACTGCCGTTTCCATGGCATATCTGGTTTGGCACAGCAAACGCAAAGGATGACGACAACCTTTGTGACACATGTCATACCCTGGGCCAGCGAGACCCCGGCATATCGCTCCGTTTCCGGCATTGTTGGGATGGGAGGTCGATGGACTAATAATTACTACGGCATGCGTTTACATGAGCCACCTTGTCCATCCCGGAAGCCAGCTCGGCCCCCATGTAGTACTTCGCCGGGGGACCCTGCGACAGCGCCCGAAGGCGCGCGTGGGACACGATCGCTCCGCAGTGGTCGAGGTGGCCGTGCGACACGAACACGCGCGCCACGTGCAAGACCTGTTGTCCTCCATTTTTTGCGTGAGAGCGCACGGGACAAACGTGTAGGATGGAACGTGCGGAGGAAGGACGAAGGGCCAAGGGGGAGGGACGTGCTCATGGACGCCTTTTTTTTTTTCGAAGAGCACACGGGACACAGGGTAGGATGAAAAAGGTATGGAGGCGGGACGACGGGGCCGGGGGAGGGGGGTAACCCTCTTCCGTCGCTATGTTTGTGAGTCTTTCGAATGCTGACAATGATTCCTGAGCCGATACGGACACGGGGCCCTGCTCCCGTGCATTTGGGGGAGCGACGTATATGGGAAATACTTTCTACGGTGCACGGGAGTTTTCCTAGGAAGATTTCACAAAAGGTCCTCGGCTTTCGGTATTGACCATCACGGAATCGGGGAGCTAACCAGACGCACCCCCGCGCCCCCCTTTCCTGCAAAGCTGACTGCAGCCGTCTCGTAAACGAATCGCGAAGCAAGGGTTACTTGTTGTTGTTGTTGTCGTAGTATGTAATGAGTAATTTATGTCATGAAATCTCATCACCGTGCTGTTGTCTCCTTCCTACCCCGTACACCCCACCTCAGCAGGACAAACGCCCATGTCGAAAACCACTCCATGCTTGCCGAGGAGGTGCCTGTGCCGGACGTTGAAGCACGAGCACACTCCGGCCTTGGACCACGCCCCTGCCACGAAGAACCCGCCTTCGGTCATCGCCCTCTCATCGAAAGCGGATCTCCCGCCACCGCCGCCTTTGCCGCCCTTAGTTCCTTTGGGCGACGGCTTTGATGCTGATGCTGATTTTTTCCTTGCAGCGGTCGCCGAGCCTTTATCGTTACCCCCCCTGCTGCTGCAGCTGCTGCTTTTGTTGTCTGCGCCAGTCGCCATTCCGGCGGCCGTGTCCAGCGGACGCCGGTCTTCCCCCCTCACCGGTTGTGCTTGTGCTCGGATTGAGGCTGCCGCCGCCGCCGATGGTGATGTTATTGCCGGCAACGTCGATGTCATTCTGCTCAACGAATCATCATCATCATCATCATCAGCAGCAGCAACGCCAGGTAGTACTCCCTGCCCCGCGCCCTGGGGCACCACCACCGCCTCCCGCGCCGACGCCGCCGGCGGCGGCGGCGGGGGAGCAGCCGTCGGCAGGTGCCTCGCCAGCAACCTCACCACTTCGTCGTGACCCGCCTGCGCCGCCAGGTCGAGCGCCGTCTGCCCGGCGACGTTAACCCCGGGGATACCCACAGACGCCTCCTCCAAGAGGAACGCCACGGTCTGTCGGTGTCCCTCCGCCGCGGCCAAGTGCAGCGCCGTGTCCCCGCTCGGGGTCGTCTTTCTCGGGTCCGCGCCCCGCGAGATGACCCAGCGCAGAGCGGGGACGTCGCCGGAATCGGCGGCCAGGTGGACCAGCGACCTCCCCAGCGGATCGACGAAGGACAGGTCCGCGACGTCGGCGCCTCGGGACAGGAGGTCGTCGAGGTGCTCGGGGGTGGTCAGCCCGCGGAGTATGGCGGTGGCAAGGCCGGCCATGCCTCCCGCAGCACACAAAACGAGAGGGTCCTACTGCTGTTGTTGATGCTGGATCGACCCCAGAAATGGCTCCTCCTGTGGGCACGGAGAAGGGGAGCCTGGTGGGACCTCCGGTCAGGTAGTCACGACTTGGGTCGGGCACCAACGGTGCTGCTGCAGATCACCACACACGCGCCAAGCAGCTGGAGGGGCGAAGCGGGTCGTGAGTGAGTGTACAGCGCAGACCTGCTCTGAGGGTTTTATCAACAGCAGCAGCAGCAGCAGCAGCAGCAGCAGCAGCAGGAGCACTCGATAAATGAAAGAAATATTTGCTTGGCCTCGGTCTTGGAAAGCGCGGTTAGAAATCCCAATTGTTCCTCCGTTTCCTCCCTCTCTCTCTTGCTTGCTCGCTCTCTGTGGCCGTGGCATTTCAGTGGCATTTCAATATCAAGCGAGAGAAAAAATCGAGTATCTGCGGCGGTGCTTAATATGGGCGTACTCTCACTCGTATGCTTTGCATGTCTTGGCGGTTAGACCATTGACCACGCGTCCTCGAATGGACGGAGCATTGTTCCCACAGCACCATCACCGATGATGGCCAATCTACTTCGTCAAAGGTAGCTCAAAAATGTTTCCCTCGCGAAGTACATACGATTTGTTTGGAGCAAACTTACCGTGAACAATTATTTTTTTATGAGCCGCGGAGCGAGCGAAGCGAGCGACCTTTTTTCCTTTCTCATCCCCGGGAGGGAAAAAAGGCTCTAAAAATCGGGCTCAAATTTTGATTTCCGTGACGCATATTTATCGCACCTTTCAGACCAGAACGAGACCGATAGGGCACCGTTTGACGATCTGTTCATTTCTGAGCAAGAAGAAAAATTACGCGTTCTTCGTCACACCGGTTTGGTCGTGCTTCGGCAACAGATGGCCGTGCTTCACAGGCGTATGTGGCCCAATTTCTTAGGAGATCGCATCCCGGCACGCCCAGGAGTTGTGGAGAGGTAAAATGCCCAAGCTATCGGAGATTGCACACACACACACAGCACGCGGTCGAGCTCAAACCCCGGCAGGACAACACGACATCAGCAGAAGGAGGGCAACAGGACGCTGATCCGAGACCAGCTATCTATGAAAACCAGGAGGGGCCGGGCCTATACGACCCGAGCGCCGTGGGTATAGTCATGCGCCGTGTGTAACCTGGCGGGAGTTTATTGACGTTGAGTGGTGCAACCGACTCCTAAAACAACAGCAGACCGATGATCACAAACGAGCCACACACAACACACCTTCCCTAGTCCAGAGATCGCACTTACCATAGAGAGAATCCGTCGAGGGCGTGAGGGGCTACTGCTTCTGTGCGCTATCAGGATGGTTCCCCGCGGGATCGGTTCAGGTTGCGTACTTGCGCCGCGCTACTGACTGTGTTCGTAAAATCCGTGCCCTGCCTGCTGTTGCTGCTAGCATTAAAGTCATGACCATCATCAACGGCTTTGTTGTTTTTGTAACGTCATGTATGATACATCATGCAGACTGCTTGCTTTTACTTGACGCGAAACTCGGAAGGATTGAGACAAATGTGGCGGGCGAGTTGTGAGCCTGACGCAATATTTGCCATCTGCCTTGCCACATTCATGTCTATGCTGCTGCTGGTCGTGATCCTCGACGGTGTGATGTGTGATACGCTCGCCGCCCAAGGTACATGCCGTATGAGCATGCGTGCCTCTTCCAGATGCCCTGATGTGCGTCCGCACAGCGGGAAGACTTCATACTTTGTTTCTTCGCGGGTGTGTGCATGTGCATCAACAGAAAAGAACAACCGCATGTAAGGAGCAAAATTTTTGAACGGGGCCGCACATACAACCAACGTCGCGCCCGTCGCACCCCTGCCGCCTGTCTCTCTGGTGCACGCGTAGCTGCATCACAAACGATTCATGCTGCTGTGTGTCGGGATTCGTGCACCATCAGGATCGCAGATAAGACTACTGCAAAGCATTGAGTCGCTACCCAGCGGCTCATTACCCCGCCCTATCTAGTACCAGGATTTAGTATAGCAAAAATCAACCTAACACCTTTTACCATATGGATGGGTTTTTAGAACGTGGTACTATATGGTACAGACTTAGGTGTGCTTACAAGTACAACCTGGTCCTTGTATACGTACATATGCTTTATTGTGTACCTGGTAACATCAACATTTGTTTCATTATAAATAAAAACGGTACACCTCTTACTCAATGTGGTATGGGTTATGGGTGACTTCGTATGTATTGGGATGGGATGGGGTATGTGCTTTTTGAGTTCAAGGTGTTCAGATTTTATTCATAAAAAGATGCTTCCAGTGCGGTAGGAGTATAAAATAACCTAACTGGATCCCATGCAGAAATCGTCTTCACGAACAGCTCGAAAAACATGGGCAAGGGAAGGGGGGTAGCATGTATATGTACTCCCGATGATTGAATCCATGAATCAATCCATAAGCCCGCTTCGTGAACAAAAACTATTCGCAAATATGGGACCACCTACGCAGGATTTTAAGAGTATCTGGAAAAAGAATAGGGAGGGGTCACGCAAAACCTGTCCCTAATCGTAACCCTAACCCTAAAGCACAGATTGCATACTTCCTCCTATATGTTTGCTTAATCACAAGTTTGCTGCGTGAAAACTGCGGAATTCAGTGAGACCGAGAAAAAAAAGAGAGTGAAAAATAAGTGGAGGTGGAGAGCATCGATCTCCCTACCTGTTCAATGCTAATGAACCGCTCTACCATTTGAGCTACACCCCCTTCATACATGTGTAGCAATTTTTTCTAATCTATACTACGCCCTAGGCTATTCCAACAAGACCTTGTTCGACAGAGTGGCGGAGGTGTACAATATCTCCAACCAAAATGAACGCGACAACGCAGGCGTTTCACTACGCACGAGTGCTAGAGCGCCGTTCAACAGGATGTTCACACACGTTGCTCCCGAATTGGCTCACCGTCAAGAATAGCGCCACGAGGTGGGAACCAAAGCAGCAAGATTCACCACACGGACTGCGCTGCGTGTTTCAGATGCAAGCAGTCTAGACTAGCATCCGCCAACCGGCACACAGCTGATTGTCCATCATGTGCACACACAGTGATGATGGCGGTATCGTCGGCTGCGTGGTGCACTGTATTTATTTGGAATGGGCTAGACATTACCGGCCAACGCCGTGTAGGTGATACTCCGGAGTATCTTCTTGCTTGCCGTCCGACATCTACATCCGCTGTTTGCGCTGCTGCTGTAGCGGGGGGTTGATTGTTTGAGAGAGCACTGAGTAGGCACGATGAATCCGATCGATGCACAGCAAACATGTGCATACATACGCATCTACTATCTATCTCATGTCTCCTACCTCTTGTACACGGCTGTAACCTGGGTGCGCTTCCTCCTGCGTGACCTCGGCTATTCATACCCAGAATTGTACCGCAAGTGTGGAAAAGTGTGCAAGTACCAACGCGCCTGGATGCCGAACAATCTGGGGGATGAAAAAAAAAAAGGTGTCATGTGGCGCTAAATCAATGACGACGACCACATGGGCCGGGGCACACGAAGACACTTGATACTCTTTTTGTCTGATGGTTGTACATGGTTCTATTGTAGTGCTAGTAGCATTGTTGAAGTCTACATTGGAAGGTACAGGTGCTGTACATATATCTCTCTGGCTTCGGATGTTCGTGTGAAAAACAACTATTAATACTGACGAAATAAATACCCTTGAGGTGACACAAGATACTGATGGCATAGACTATACAAGTAGATGTCAATCACACCCCCTGGGCGATTTTCAACCTCGAGTACACTCCACAGGAGCAGTAGAAAGAGTGGCTTGAGCCTAAAATAGCGGCGTTGAAAGCACCTCAATACCTTTCGATTTTGATACCCTCTTCGTCAGGGGAACAGATAGTCGAGCTATCAAAATCGGTCCAGGGGGGGTGGTATCTTGTGTCATATCATGTCACCTTCGTTGGTTCTCTGTTTTCGGTGGTGGTGCGTGCGGTGTTTCCCGGACGGAGTACAAGTACTCTTGGGAGCAGTAGGAAAACGAAGTGTAGTGGCAGGTACCACGAATTCGCTATAATTCATGTAGGACTACACAGCAGTACCGTTCGGTGGCAGTAGACTAGCAGCGTGGGTGCGCCTCCGACCGTGCAAAAGCTGGTTCCAATCGATAACATAATAGGTTCATAGTCACCTTCATTGGCAGCCACTTTCGACGTGTAACATTTTTACTATTTACTTGGGACCACCAGACCTCCAAGGCTGACCCTTGCTGTGTGTAACACCAACAATGACAATCAAATGCTGCTATTAATTACGCACAGCAAGGGTCAGCCTTGGGACTCTCCAACGTCCTGCGAGGGCGACTCCCCCTTTCTTTGCACATTGATTGCAGTCAGGGCGTTTAGTGTAGAACTGACACTGCTGCCTACATCACTGCCCAAAATAATGAGCCGCAAAAGGAGAGTAGACTACTAAAGCTCAACAAACACGAAGCGACAATCGCATCTAGTCTACCCCAAACAAACTCGTGAACTTGCTTGGAGACTGAAAATCACCATATAAAGCGGGAGCGGGGCAACGGGGTCGCGATGCTTAAAGGCGCCGGGATGATCATAGCGCGCTCGACCCGGGGCCACATACCATACAGACTAGTCCAGAACAGGTACCTGAGGAACTCGGATCGATCGCGTAGCACCCCCAGGCCGAGGACACCTGCCTGCCGCCGACTTTCTCGCGCGGCGGCACATGAAGAAAGGAACAAAACCAGGCTGATTTCACTGTTCCAAAGGCCGCGCCCCTTCCAACAGCAACCAATCCAGGATACCCACAGCAGCTGGAGGAGAGCGAGAGAGCTCATCAACGCGTACCCTCGTGTGCATGTTTATGGACGCAGACGCTCTACAGTGGCATCACATGCACACCCAGGCTGTGTGTTGAATCGCCGACTGATCATGGCGTCGTTGGACACACTACTACTAGACTCCTCAACAATCTCTCTCCTTCCCACGAAGATGGATACGACGCTGCATGCTGCTGCTGCTATCGGTTGGACACGGAGAGGGCACTATTAATAGATGGAAGCCGAAACGGCACGGCACGGTACCACATCGTCGAAAGACTACGAGCGGTTTCAGGGGGAAAAGCAGCCGCCTATTTTATACCTGAATCGACACAACGCGTCAACGACAAAACATGCAAATTACACTACTCCACAAACAGGCAGTGAGAGGCAACTGATAATATCATCGTGCAGACAGTCTGGTCACGTGAGTCCGTGTGGTGGCCAGCAGCCAAAATAACACATTCCGGTCCCCTTTCCCCCCGGAAAGCTGAAAAAACTCTCCCGTTGACCATTCCAGGTCTGTCCGATATACTGTACCCTCGTTTGCTTGCTTGAGTTCGGCATCGGATCGTCGATAGATGCTGCAGTTGCGTCCAAAGACGCGCTACAGTGGAATGGTAAGTAAGACACATGTACAAAACAAACGCCACCCAATCACATGCACAAGGCACACGTGCTACGAGAACAGAAGGACAGCCAAACAGTCTCCCCAACCCCTCAAGCGACTATCATCCAGGCATGGTCGTTTGCTTCATGGTTCTGGGCTTTCGTGCCACATGCACCACACGAAGGCGAAAATACCAACAACTTACTCCTTCTTTGACTTTCATACCACAACCTCTACTTGCCATTGTTCTCCTTCTTTTCGCTTAGAACACCCTCGTGCGATGATGACGCGTGTATGTACACGCTGAAATTCCTTTTTTCAAGGGTACTATACAGTGTACGAGACCACACGACGGGTGGCGGCGAACAAAATTGGAAACAAAGGGGATGCATACCGTCAACTGTCAATAGTGTATAGTGTTGACAGCGGTCACGCAAATAATCTTATGCTCTCCTCTTCCGTTTCGGACAAAAAAGGTTCTCCAAGCCAAGAGAACCATCCCCACACACACACCCCTTCGACACATACAATCGCATCAACACGATGCCGGGTATACGAAACACCAAACGCCCGAAAACAACGCAAACACAACAACAACGAAGAGAACATAACGCAAGGGTATTGTCCAACGACAGAAGAAGTAGTCCTCCTCTCCCGCCGTCACATGCTCTCAAGCTTCCTCCTCCTCCTCTAAGCGGGGTGGATGGGAGCCCCGCGCATGCTTCCACCCCCGCCCGTCCAGCCGTCCTCGTCCGGGGCGACCTGCGGCGGCTTGGCCGCGTCCGCCTGCCGCCGCTTGTGCACGGCGACGGCGGTAAGGACGAGGATCACCGCGGCGGCGATGCCCGCGGACAGCGCGGCCACCTGAGCGTTGTCGTTGGAAGTCTCGGTCTCCCCGGACGGGAACATCTCCCCCGTCAGCTGCGTCTCCGGGAACGGCATCAGCACCGCGTCGATCGCGTGCACAATGCCGTTGCTCGAGGGAAGGTTTCCCACGAGGATGGAGGCATCGCCCCCCTCCGCGTCCTCGATGAGGGTACCCCCGCCGACGACCGAGAGGGAGCCCCCGCCACTAAGGGTGCGCAGCATTCCGACGTCGTCCATGGAGTTGGTCCCCACCTCCCCGTCCACCATGTGGTACCGGACGAGCTCCTCGAGCGCGGTCCGGTTGGCCAGGTCGATGTTGGAGGGGTCGAGCCGCAGCTCTAGGAACGCGCTGTCCGTGGGAGCCAAGACCTGCGTGCGGCGCCGTGCGTACATCGCGAGCAAGGCGAGAATCAGAACAGCTGATCAGGCCAAGACGACAACAAAAAGGCGACTTGGGACCTACAGCACTTATGATTGTCGTGAGAGGGCAAGTGCCGAACACCCGCGCTTGCACAGGCGACTGGATGCAGCCAGTCGACAACGCGGGGTAGCAATCGAGGGCCTTCAGGACAACACTTCCTGACAATTCTTCTCTACGCGGAAAACAAAGCTAATCGACTCGACGCACACACACACACACACACAACACACAACACTGCTGGCAGACGGTCAAGAAGGGCAACAGACTCACGCTGACCTGTACATGCAACGCCGCCGAGCCGGAGCCAAGAAAAAAAACAAAAAACTCACAGTGTAAGGCCCGTTCAAGCCCCTGTAGTCGCCGGACAGGTCGGTGAGGTTAATGGCCGTCAAGAAGGTGTCGAACACCCCCTCGTACGAGCCCCCGGGCTCGTTGTACGTCTCGAGCGAGGACATGAGGTCCGGCGGCATCAGCACGCCGTCGATGTAGTGCAGGTAGCCGTTCGAGCACGTCACGTCCGCCTCGGTGATGGCGATCGCGTTTCCCTCGGAGTCGATCAGCGTCGCCCCTGAGGTAGCCAGGTCTACCCCGAGCGCGGTGAAGAGGGAATCGTCGCTGGCGATCGCCGACCGCATGACGCCGCCGTTGAGAGTGTGGTAGAGCAGCAGGTTCTCGAGGATGGAGGGCGGGATGTCCTCCACGTTCTCGGGGCCGATGCCGGCATGCAGGAAGGCCGCGTTCGTGGGCGCGAAAAGCTGTGCGGGAACAAAGAAGAAGCAGTTGTACCGTTTCGCGAGGACGCGGACAAGGGGTTTCGGAGTAAGGGCCAGGGCAACACCACAGATATTACCTTCAGTGTGGTTTGTTGGTGGCTACTCAGACCTCTTTTTGCCAGACAAGAAGGAAGAACAGCATTTCGCAAAACGACTCGCGTACCTCACAGCTGCAAACGGACAACCACATTGTGCGATGGGCTAACCGAGAACCCGTTGTAACGCCTAGAGAACACTTTCAATTTTCGCAAAAGCGGTACGCTGACAAATTGTAAACACGATGTGTCCAAACCAATTTATATCATTCATTAACCGTACATGTACACGTGCAACAAGAGCCAAAAAGAATAAAAATTTAACAAGGGCGCGGCGGCGCACCGTGAAGGGTCCTGGTGCGGAGAGCTCTATGTCCAGGCCCGACGAAGCGGCGAGCGCCGCGATCATCGTGTCGAACTGCCCGAAGTACGGGCTGAAAGGGTCGGCGTTCTCCGCCACGAGCGTGTCCACGATCACCAGGTAGGTTGGGGCGGCGGTGGGGGCGGCCGTCGGCGACTGCGTGAAGAGCGGGTACGGCTCGAGCACGATGTCGATGGCGTGCATGTACCCGTTCACGGCCTGGAGGTCGGCGGCCAGGAGACTGGCCTTCATCTGAGTGTCGTCGAGGATGCCGCCGTCAAGGGAATTCCGCAGCGTGCTGCCCGACAGCAGGGTGTCGAACTCGCGGAGGGGCCCCCGCAGAGTCGCGTTGTCCGCGGCCTCGTTGGTGACGATGTGGTACCGCAGCACCGTCTCGAGAACTTCCTCGTCGAAAGTGAGAACGGTTTCGTTCGTTATGCCGATGGACTCGAAGGCGAAGTCTCCCGGGGCGAACACCTGGTGATAAAACGCGGTTTCATTGGATGGTTGT